ACCACACTTGCTACATAGACATCTCGTGTGGACTGATGATATACGTACTCCTTATTTTTATGACCAGCTAGCAAGCATCTTTACAACTTATGAAAACCCAGTGTGAACGATTGTTGGTATGTAATAAAATAGCAGCAGCTAAAAAAGATCCGTACAGAATACCAATGCATATGTCAATTGAATTAATTTATAAGAATATGTACGGTGCAAGACAGCTTAAACCGTACTTTTCAAAAAAAAAACGGCCAAATTTTTCATTCTAAACGCTGAAAGATACTAATCATGTACTTCGACCCTACGATGAGACTTGTACTTTTTCCACTATTTGCAAAGCCTCACGACCTTGGTACCCTTAGTAATATGCGTCGATGTAGCGCCAAGCCTTTTCGCTCAAAATTACGTATCATATTCCACGGGACTTCAAGAATTTTTGGTACAGTCACTTGCAAGCTTTTGAATGAGTAATCGGATCGTTTCCGCACTTCTCGCTTAGCGGCACCCCAATACCTCTCGTTGAAATTGCATTCGCAATGATACTTCGGATAACGTTCATCAATCAGACTGGGCCTGATAACTACATTTTCAATAGCGCTGGTCATGGCGAGAAAGTCTGTGCTTCTTTAACTCGTAAGCCTTGCTGCCGAAGCCCGCATTTCTCCAGTATCTATTGCCTCATGGTTAATATTAAACTGTACATTTTACATATCGGAAATATTGTCAACTTACTTCTTTTACAGTCTTAAGACACATTTTCTTGTTAATCACAGTGCACATGGATTGGAAAATCGTGTCGCCAATTTCGTCTGTATAATAGCCATAACGCATCCGATATTCTTGTCGATTGTTGAAGTATGCTCTTTGGTTCACAATTTAATTTGTCATATTGAACTTGGTGGCACGCAATGCATTATCGAGACAGCATTATGATTTGAGCTCTGGTCAAACATAAACACACCTAAGAAATAGTGATCAGTAATTTTAAAAGACAAAATAGAAATATATATAACAATCAACAAATTATGTCACCTTTGCAGCCAGGATGTAATAATTCAAAGATGGGGATAGCCTTCTCTCGCAGTTGTTTAAACATATCAGGACTTCTCCAAAATCCATCACGTTTAGCTCCAGGGAAGATGATTTCACGTGCTTGAATAGGGCATCCCGTGCCTTCTCCGACACCGTCAGGAAGCAGCAGTCGACCATGGCATGCGCACAGATAATCGCTAACCCTCAATGAAGCACCTTGTCCTTTTTCTTGAGTTTTGATTCACCTTCTTCCAGCCAGATCTTTTTCTGATCGTCATTGGCATAAAATATGCATTCACCATGTGTGATCAGTACATGCTCGACCTCATCTCCAAATAATTCAGGTTCCTCTTCATCGCCATCATCCGCCGCATTATTCCTCATTTTTCTTCGATATTCCATCAGTCGTTAAGACAGTCCTTACGATACTCGAGAAAATTGTCACGTTCATGTCCATCGAACTTTATCTTTGTAAAATCGATGCGAATGTCAGTCTCTTATGGGGCCTGTAATACTCTAGCAAGAGAAAACTCACATCTTTGGTATCATCGCGATATTGGAATCCCCAGCGTTCAAGGTATCGTGTGATAGTCCGTACAGAAATCGTCGCGTTCGGTATATTCAGTTCAGTAAAAGAGGCAAAAATTCCTTCTCCAGAGCTGCTTGCAAGCTGAAAACGTCGTGCCTTGCTGGATCTTGTTTACGAAGCCAATTACATACTGCTTCTTTTACGTTCTCATCTGCTAAAAGTGACGCGTTTTTCACAAGGATGCCTTGGCCACTTGGTGAGATTTTTCCAGTACTAAGGTACTCATTTACCCAGAGGCGAATGTCGGTAACTTGGTGCTTGCTGCATTCCTTGCATATCGTAAAAGCCACTTCCTTTGTTGCTACGATGTTTGGCATATGCATGAACCGATAGATACTTGTTGGCCTCTCTGATGGGCAGCTTCCCCATTGTGATGATATTTTTGCGTATGATACTGTATGTTTTTTATTTCATGATTTCTGGTTGTCTGTTGTTGAAGATGCTTGTTATTATTTACACTTGGTTTCGAATATTATGATTTTCGATTGGTTGGTGTTGGTGTTGATGAAGAAAAAAAACATTATCATCTGCTGTACGAGTATACCTACTATCAGGGCAATTGTGTTGTTTTGTTGTTTTCTCGGGTGTTGTGTATTTTTATTTAATCAATCGAATCCTGCTTTATATGATGGACGAGTTATAGGTGAACGTGTCAATTCCAGATCAGCTTTGCTCGATCAAGTCCACCGTATTTAAGATAACAGACTACAATATTTAAGAGCGGATTTTAAACAATGAATACACAATTGCTGAAACATGTATACTTCTTTAGTATTTTCTATAACAAAAGGCACCCTATCAAAGACTAACCTTGACCACTTGTAATATTTCAATCGCATGTTTTAGGCCACAGACTCTTTCTTTGCTTGGAACTGGAGAAAATTCTTGTATCATATACGCCATACATTCTCAACCTTTGTTTACGTGCTTAGTTGATATGATACAAGTCCTTTTTTGTTTCTACCACCCTGATAAAATTTACTCCTGATGGGTGTGAGGAAGAGGAGCAACAGCAATAAACATTGTTTTATATCATCATAGCGAAATCACAGGTACGTTATTAATGCATAATTTATTCGTCACCATGACGCTCCCAGATATGCTCGACAAGATCAAGTAGTAGCCTCGTATGGGCGGCCTTGTCACGAACTTCCCGTTGACGTTGGTGACGGAGAAGTTCTTCCGGTTGTCCACCATGTTGAATGGATGACGCAACCGTGAAAGAACAGCTATCGTAATCCAAATCAAACTGCCTTTCGTACCCATCCCGCTCGTCCTCAACGATCATGTTATGCATGATAATGCACGCCTTCATGATGTTTGCGAGGTGTGATACGTGCCACGAATGTCCAGGCTCCCGGACTATTGCAAAACGCTGTTGCAACACTCCAAAAGCGCGCTCAATGTCTTTGCGGACAGATTCTTGTCGTTGGGCGAACAACTAGATCAATAAGGTAATGAGTTAAATTAGGTAGATATATTTATATAATAAACAAGCATGTACCTTTTTTTTGTTGCCCACGGGATGCCAGATGGTTTTGATCAATGTGGCCCACGGCGGGAAAATCCCATCTGCCAAGTAATACCCCTTGTTATAATTCTTGTGGTTGACGGTGTAGGTGACAGCTGGGGAGCGACCGCTGATGACATCGTCGAACAGGGGGGACTTGTGCAAGACGTTGAGGTCGTTGCAGGACCCGGGAACACCAAAGAACGAGTGCCAGATCCACATATCTTGCGAAGCGACGGCTTCCAGGATGACTGTCGGGCTACCTTCCTTGCCAGACGTGTACATGCCGGCCCAACCAGTGGGGCAGTTCTTCCACTTCCAGTGCATGCAGCCGAGGGAGCCAAGCATGCCCGGGAACCCTCGCGCCTCTCCAAGGGCCAACAAACGTTTGAGGTCTTCTTCGTTTGGGGCACGCAGATATTCCTCCCCAAAGCACTCGATGATACCCTCACAGAATCTCCTCAAGCACTCTCTTGCTGTGGATTCAGCCATCTTAGGGTATTCGTCAACAGCGTCAGCGGATCCGCCATACGCTAGCATGCGCATGGCTGCGGTTCCTTTGAGGTAAGGGTGGAAGCCGACTTTCCCGGTTGCATCCCGTTTTTGTTGGAAGTACGTGTACTTGGATTCTAGCTTTTGCACGATACGCAAAAACAGCTCCCGCTGCATGCAGAAGCGACGTCGAAAAAATGTCGCATCGTATCTTGGGAGTCTATTCTTTATTTAAACTAACGACGCGTGAAGTTTAACAATAAATTAAACAGCAACCGCTGCACGATATGCCCTGTTATGTTATCAGATACTGTTATGCGGCCTGTTAAATTTCTAAATTTAACATTTTCATAACAGCGACCGCTGCGGGTGCTCTACGTAATCCTATATATTTCTTAGATAAGGCACGTATGATCTTGTATGTTGCTCCATATTTTTAATTCTTCATCTCTTCCGTAAATGAGCTCCCTTTATCCTGTATACTTGTCTGTCACAATCGCATCTATAGTTTATCCAGTCTATAATAAATATTGCCAGAAAAAAATGTCATTAATACATTAGCTCCCACAAAAGAGTTGCATCATTTGTAAGCTCAATAAAGTACATACTCTGAGATTACCATGATGAACATACTAGCTGATAAATCTATCCCTGCTAGAATGCCATGACGACAGCTGGGGTCATTCGCAAGCAACGGAAAGAAGAACCCGGATCAGGCGCGAATTAAATGCAACACATCCTCGAACTATCACTCAATCCTTTGTCCACTTGGAATTTATCCACAAGGACTCATCCCTGTCCTATATACGCAGCACATGACCACTAACATCGCAAGCAACGGAAAGAAGACTCCGGATCAGGCGCGAATTTAATGCAACACATCCTCAAACTATCACTCAATCCATTGGTTACTCGGGATTTATCAGAGTGGCAAACTCCTGCCCTTGCTGTCGTTGACAAAAAGAAGAAAACGAATGTTTTTTCAGCCAATTGAAAATATACTGTCACGAGTTGGACTATTATCATATTTGAATCGCGGCAACTACTCTTGACGAAAGTAGGATATGCTTTTTATCTATTCATCGTTGCCATTAATATGATGTATAATAAAGCAACAACAATCATACTGGGGCCATTAAAATTATTGTTATTCGGCACATCTCCTTCTTCACTGATATGTGTCATAGACGTATACTCACAAGCTTGTATATATCGCGATATCCGAGCTCCTTCTCTCGACGATATTGTATCGATTACAACGCGGGCGAAACACTAACACAACAACTAATTGAGGCAAGGCAAAGTATTAACAAAGAGCTATGTTAGAAACAATCCATTGTTGTACAGATAAAGATCAGAAGTGGAAGACTTAAATGCAGACAGTTGAATTTCGGTATACATTCCAGTTAATGCACTAGATGATGGTGACTGGTAACGTGTAGCTAGTTGATAATGGTGTCGGTCCATTAATTAGCGACAGATCCATAAAAATGACTCAATCCGATCCGTATCGGAGCGGCGCCTGGAGCCGGTGTTGACGCCGGACATACTACATAAGGTTTAATCACTCCTGCACAAGGATCTCCTAACTTTGTTGGTTTAATTCCGAATGACTTCAATAGCAAAGCGACAGCTACTTCCCTATCTCAGGTACACCTTTCGACCAAACAATCGTACCTTAAATTGGTAAAGAAGAATAGAAGATTAATCTTAACACATCCAAAACCAGACAGAGCAAGATTGCTCCAACCGGATGCAATTTAGCGCGCTCGACATACACTACTTCCTCATTTCAACGATCTTCTTCCATCGGTTTTACGAATTATACTTACAACACGAAAATCTTTGGTCAAAATGCTCTCGCTTACCGGCCGTTAGAAACACCCCTTGCTTGTCGAACGATCACACTTACCACACGACGATTGTATTCGAGTCCTTCCTCCGCTGCAGCAGAAAAACAACAGCAGCAACAACAAGAGAGCGGTGATAATACGACCGATAGTACTAATACTGCCAATCCTCCTGCTAAGCAACAATCGCGTTTGGGGCAGCTATTCGAAAAGTCCAAAGCACTTGTTGTATTCTACAAAAACGGATTGAAGGAGTTATGGGCCAACCAAAAGGCAGCCAAAGCATTGAAGCAACAAGTGACAGAACAAGGTTATCAACTGACTCGGTCCGAATACCAACTTGTAAGCGATCTTCGATCCCTACATTAAAGATCAATTATAGGGAAAAGGAAGCCAATGTATAATAACACGTACAAATTTTGCCATTAAGATCCACAAATCAAAGAAGGATATGATCAAATTGGCACCGTTCGGCTTGATTTTCCTTGTTCTTCCTGAATCGGTACGTAGATATGTGATCTGATTAAACAGAGTTTTTGTGTGTGGTTCATGTGTATGCATGTCGTCGAACCTAATTATATTCTCATATTAGATTCCTCTGTTTGTTATATTTGCACCTGGAATCATCCCTAGCACCTGCCTTACTGAGAGCCAAGTGGTATGATGGGGTTTTATGGGCATTTGCCTAATACCAATGAAAAGGCAAACTAAAATTTGGATTGATACTTTTTTTCAATTATGATAGCTGAAGCAACGACAAAAGCTGGATGAAGCTAGACAGCGGATGTCTTCAAATGTTATCCAGGCATCTCATCAAATTGGACGTGTAAGTAAGGCAATAGATATCGATCTGTTTGATCATAATGTACTAAACATATGTATTGTTTTATCTTATTAATCAGATCGCACCCGAAGATTTTCTGTCGCTTCGAAAATTTTTCAAGATTGCAAAGGGTTATCACTACGATTTCGAATTACCTCAGGTTAACAAGGACAACCTAAGTGCTTATTGCCGGTATGATTCAAACGTAGTTATTAAGATGATGGAAAAGAGCATGGTTTTTTAATCTTTTAGTATTTAGCTTTATGGGCTTGAAAGGCTGGGGTACAAAGGGCATGTTGGAAAAGCGGTTAAATAAACATTTGGACTACTTATTGGAAGATGACAAGGTACGTCGTTTTGGAAGGCATGTGTACCGTACCGCTCTAATAACTCAAGAATAATTCTATGTAGTTGATTGCCAAAGAAGGTATTGAAAGCCTCAATATGCCAGAGTTGCAACACGCTGTAGAGGAACGTGGCATGTAAGTTTTGAGAGAGAGAGAGAGAGAGAGAGAGACATGGATGAGCTGCGTGATTAAGGTTATTGATTGCTCTTCTTTATATCTTTAGGCGCTCAGTCGATGTCAATGAAGAGCAGCTTCGTCGTGGTCTTGACTTCTGGATTGCCGTGCATATGAACAAAGAACAGTCAATTCCCCGTGGCTTGCTCGTGTTCAGTAGAATATTCTTGCTTAATGCCAACTATAAATAGACTACTACTGTAAAGATAGTATAGACCAATTTTTAGAATACAAATACAGTGCTTCCAACTGGCAATGTCGTACACGGTCAAAAATGATGTCGCCAACAAATTAAAATCGATGTCGTTGTGTGATCAACATCAATTCGCACTTTTAGGAACCAAGTCGTATTTTTAGAAACCATGTCGCTCACATTTGAAAATAAAAGTCGTGTCACGATGATTTCTTGGCACACTCGAGAAATATAAAAGTAGGCCATTTCATCATCTGGATCTGTTTTTTTTTCTTTTTCTTCAATTGTTTAAGATTGAAATGAGTGCAATATTTTTATTTGAAGATGGACATGGAAATGTCGTTGATGAGAATGGAGGTCCTGAACCAATGGAGTATATCGTTGATCAGGATGAATTTGTCGTTGAGGCGATTGCGACTCATAGCGAGTACTTGAAAAATATCCCCTCTTGTGAATTTTCATCGGTTTGTCCAATGCTGACAGAAAAGCCAAAAGATGAAGACATTTGTATGAAGGATGCCAACGTAAAACGAGATTACGTGCGCTATACCGTTCAAGATAAGGTTCGATTTTTTGATCTGAAGATTGAGAAGTGTATGAGCGCATCAGCTGCAGCAAAACAGTTGGGCATTCACCTTCGAACAGCTCAGAGATGGGTAAGGCAGTACAGCTTATGTCTTGATGGCATCTTTGATAATTGTAAGCAGGTTGGTCGTAAGTGTATCTTGTCCAAAGAGCATAAAACGGTAATAATCAACTTTATTGATGCTAATCCCTCTGCTTCTATTGTTGAAGTGACTGAGCATTTGTTGAATCAATTCGATGATCTGAAAGTTTCACGTAGCACTGTTTACAATTTCATGAAAAGCGAATGCAACCTTTCGTTGAAGAAGGCTGATTTTGTTTCTGTCGAAAGGAACAGTCCAGCAAAGATTGAGGAGCGTCACAATTGGGTTTGTAAATGGGAAAATACGGACATGAACTTCCTAACGAACTGCGTGTTTCTTGACGAATCTGCTTTCGATATAAATATGAAACGCTCAAGAGCTTGGTCCAGGAAAGGTACGCGTGCTATTGTAACTCGGCCAACAACGAGAGCAAACACGACGTCTATATTGGGCACCATCTCCGCTGCAGGTTTGATTGCAGTCGGCGTAAAAAAACCAAGACCTGCGAAGAAAAGAAAGGCTGAAGGATACATAAGTTCAGGAACTGTTACTGGTCACTATATCAGTTTTTTAAAAACTACACTCGATGAAATGGACAAACATCCACATATGAAAGGCCACTATATTGTTATGGATAATGAACCCATTCACACACATGAAAACATAAAGAAGTATATTGAGTATCGAGGATATAAATGTGTGTATCTTCCTACTTACTCTCCAGAGCTTAATCCAATTGAACAATTCTGGGCAGTGGCAAAAAGTAAGGTTAAGCGTCATAGGTTTTTGCAGGAAGACACTTTGTCCAATAGGATTACAGAAGCCTGTAACAGTGTGAAGCAAAGTCATTTCAAAGGTTTCGTCTCGCATTCTTACCAGTGTTGGGACAAATGTCGAAACAGACAATCTATGTAATGACCCAAACGAATGTGCGATTAGGGGAAAACGGTAAGTGCAATCAGGAAAAAAAAGGCTATCCAAACTGCGAGCCAAAAAAAAAAGGCTATCCAAACTGCCAGCCAAGAAAAAAAAGGCTATCCAAACTGAAAAAAAAGGCTATCCAAACTGCCAGCCAAAAAAAAAAAGGCTATCCAAACTGCGAGCCAAATAAAAAAAGGCTATCCAAACTGCGAGCCAAAAAAAAAAGGCTATCCAAACTGCGAGCCAAATAAAAAAAGGCTATCCAAACTGCGAGCCAAAAAAAAAAGGCTATCCAAACTGCCAGCCAAAAAAAAAAGGCTATCCAAACTGCGAGCCAAAAAAAAAAAGGCTATCCAAACTGCCAGCCAAAAAAAAAAGGCTATCCAAACTGCCAGCCAAGACAAAAAAGGCTATCCAAACTGCCAGCCAAGAAAAAAAAGGCTATCCAAACTGCCAGCCAAAAAAAAAAAGGCTATCCAAACTGAAAAAAAAGGCTATCCAAACTGCCAGCCAAGGAAAAAAAGGCTATCCAAACTGCCAGCCAAAAAAAAAGGCTATCCAAACTGCCAGCCAAATAAAAAAAGGCTATCCAAACTGCCAGCCAAGACAAAAAAGGCTATCCAAACTGCCAGCCAAGAAAAAAAAGGCTATCCAAACTGCCAGCCAAAAAAAAAAAGGCTATCCAAACTGAAAAAAAAGGCTATCCAAACTGCGAGCCAAAAAAAAAAAGGCTATCCAAACTGCGAGCCAAATAAAAAAAGGCTATCCAAACTGCGAGCCAAAAAAAAAAGGCTATCCAAACTGCCAGCCAAAAAAAAAAGGCTATCCAAACTGCCAGCCAAAAAAAAAAAGGCTATCCAAACTGCCAGCCAAAAAAAAAAGGCTATCCAAACTGCCAGCCAAAAAAAAAAAGGCTATCCAAACTGCCAGCCAAATAAAAAAAGGCTATCCAAACTGCCAGCCAAGACAAAAAAGGCTATCCAAACTGCCAGCCAAGAAAAAAAAGGCTATCCAAACTGCCAGCCAAAAAAAAAAAGGCTATCCAAACTGAAAAAAAAGGCTATCCAAACTGCCAGCCAAGGAAAAAAAGGCTATCCAAACTGCCAGCCAAAAAAAAAGGCTATCCAAACTGCCAGCCAAATAAAAAAAGGCTATCCAAACTGCCAGCCAAGACAAAAAAGGCTATCCAAACTGCCAGCCAAAAAAAAAAGGCTATCCAAAGTGCGAGCCAAAAAAAAAAGGCTGAGGTGCATGTCAGCTTGAATGGCTTTTTTGTGCAACAAAAAAAATCGGATTCCAACCCCGCCCATATACAGTACTTTGAAGTCAGAAGGACAAAGCGTTTATTCTTTTGTACTTTTTTATAGCCCATTCGGCCCTTTTGATATCCAAACCTCTGTTATACATCTCAATGAATTTCCATGCGCGTTGCTCATAGTGAATGATGTGTAGGGTGGTGATGCGTTTGGGCAACTCGCTTACTCGTGCTTTTAAAGAAGCAAACGAATAGTCACATTCCTTGCGGGCTATATGCTTCATTTCTGCCCATACTCGCTCAATCCAGTTACACTCACAGTGAAACTTTGGATATTTCTCGAATACCATCCCATGTCTTGAAGTGATTTCTTCAAGCAGTGACTTTCGTTCTTGAAAATCCGGTTGGGCTGCCAAGCGATGAACTGCACAGCAATCGGTGCTGGTGCTGTCCTTTCTGCAATACCGGATAAGGCCTTCAGAAGGCCAGAGACCTCTCTCAATAAGTATGTGCTGCATGCCAAGTGGAACACCGTTCTTATCGACCATTGGTTGAACTATCTTCCTGTTGTTAAGCAAGTAATAGCCGTCGCGCGAAACGATTTGTTTGCCTGCTGGTTTGAGGTTCATTCTGAATGCGTTCAAGGCATTATCCGGCATGGC